CTTTTCTTCCCAATCCCATTTTGTTGTACTAAAATATTAGCACTTTCTCTAAAATGCAAAAAACATGCAAATGCTTTTAGAAAAAGTCATTGTTTGGTTTGAAAACCTCAAACTTAACCTCTCTCATGGCACACATCTTTTTCCCTAATTACTCTTTACACACACTTTCCATCACTAATTTCTCTCCATACACTTCTTCTCACTAGCTTCTCTCTCTATGCATTTTTGTCAATAATATCTCTCTTACACACGTTCCCTCACTAAATTCTCTTTGTACAGAGTTCAGAGATTTCCTCTCATCAACTTCTCTCTACACATCCAATCTCAATAATCTGTCTTCACATATCTTTTTTTCAATAATCTGTCTTCAGATACATTTTCTACCATCAACTTCTTATAAAACCGCACTATCTCTGCAGACTTTCTCTCTATAACTTCTCTCTAAACATATATTTTATCAGCAATCTCTCTTCACAGACATTTTCTAACGCTGACTTCTTCCTATCCACATTATCTGTCACCAATTTCTCTTTACATACTTTCCCTTAGTAGTTTCTTTCTACATATATAAATTTCTCAACAGGTGATTGGTACCGATAAAAAGAAACTAAAAGTGCCCACTCACCAGTCTCTCTGTAAAAAACGTCATTAGACTGTGTATTGTTGCATCGTCCAGAGGCTTTGATGCAAGACATGTAAGTACTTCCCCAAGAAGAAGTATACCTGAAAAGGATAGCAAGCTTGTTGTTTCTTTTTCAACAATGCGGAAGAATAAATTGAAAATGCAAGGTAACATGTCAAACTTTCAACTATTACAGCGAGTATAAACCACAAAAGATGGTATGTATCGTAACAGATATCTTGACGAACAGCAAGGCTCAGTATCATGGTTAAATAACATCCCTTAAACAAACAGAAGGTATGGATGTGTTACTTAATGGACAACCAGTGTTAGGCACCAATGACAACGTTCAGAAGTTGTTACAAATGTTCTTTTACTATATTTTCTAACAATGGCACAAGCCATATTTTGACTAACTAGAAGACTTTTATTTAACTTCCTTTGTATTCCGGGTGTTTCCCTATTTTATTTTATCAATGAAATATCTTATTACTTTTTTTCTTTCTTTTTTTTTGGTAAGATATCGAGCTTTCGTTGACAAAAAAAACCATAAAAATGTAGAAGGAGCACCAACTAACTATAAAAAGGGCTCCAATCCAACAAAATCATACCAAGATCATAATTACAAAATAGTCTATTAACAGACGCCAACAAAGAGGCATTAAGCCTCTCCCCTCCCAGACCTCCTCAATGAATTTCTTAACCTCTCGAAAAATCCTATTATCCTTTCAAGCCAAATACCCCAAAAAAAAAAAAAAAAAAAAAAACCCTTGCCACAACACTTGGCCTTTCTCGCAGAAGGGAAAACACAACAGAACTTCCTCAATCATAAAGAAGTTAAACTTTTGAGTTTTTGTTATCTTGCAGGACATTTAATCTAGGAGGAAGCTACACTTCTCCTAAAATAAAATCATGATTTGCATAGTAAATTTATTCATTTCACTTAACAATATGAAACAAGTTTTGCGTGAGCACATTCCTTAATTACTTGTTCAAAAGTGAAAGTAAGCAAGAAAAATATACAGAAAATACCAATAATAATAATATAACAAAATAAGAAGTTTACGTAGCAGTACCTCTGCCTCGAATAATGTGATCAGTAATTGTCAAATACATACCCATCTCTGTAACCTAAATCACAAAAATAAGAATTTAAGGCAGTAGAACTTCATAGAGTTGAAGGAAACATGATTAAAGAAGAAGGGAAGAAGAAGCTAGGCAAAAAAATACCAGAGTTTTTATTGTTACAACATTGTTCTTCACAAGGGAGATGATTGCTTCCAAGCTTGTGGCCTGTAGTGTCACATATATTGTTGTTAGTCCATTGTTCTTCGTGGTGTTCCTATTAATCAGTACATTGTTACACAGATGAAACATCACAGCGTGAAGAAATACAGATGAAACACCACAGCGTGAAGAAATACAGATTTGGGTGGGTGGGGAGGTTTGCTACAAGAAAACACCAAATAGAAGCCATGAAATCAAAGGATTCCTAAATTACGCCCCAGTGCACATGTGGGAAGACTTTATTACTTTCAAGCCAAACTGACCAATAAAGTAGCTCTAACAGTATTTGTTCACAAAAACTGGGCCTCTACTTTCATATGTTTCTTGCATTGCTTTTTATGCATACATATTTCCTGTAAAAGGTTTTCTGCAGAAGGAATTTTTGCAAAAACTGAACCTCTGACTAAGGGAGGACCAGTGAAACGTTATAGACTGGAAACTTTTCCACTAGATATGAGTAGTACAAGGGCTTCTCAAACGGATAAGGTTAGCAATTTCCACATGGCCTTTCAAAAAAAAAAAAAAAGAACAATAATAATAAAAAATAAACAATTCAGACTGAATACATGTATCGGGTGTCTATCATTAGTCTAGAGGCCTTTCACTAAACAAAATCCAATGTAAGGTTTTCATCTTCTTTGGCCATTTCCCATCCAAACTGCAGTAGATAGGTCCTCAAGCATGATTGAAAGCACATAAGCTGTTAAAGACCGTCCTACAAGAACAGAGACCAGAGAGTCTAGAGACCACATTGTCCTGTTTTCTACAAAGTACAAACTCAGACTGAAGCAAGACCAATAGGCTTCAGTTAACCATTCCTCCAACATGAGAAAATGAGTTAATATTGATCTCTCCATCAAAGAGAGGTTTCTTATAATGCCCAGACCCCAATTTCTTCATGCTAACAATCACTAATCGCCAGTTCATTTTTGTTAGAAATTGTGTTTGACCTGGAAAGAAGTTGGGAGGGAAATCGAGTTAGTCCGAACATCCTCCCATGATCTGATTACTTTTCCATTGTCAAATTAAGCCTTAAAAAAGCATTAAAAAAGCATTGAATGTGTTTTACTCTTTCGTCGTCAATTTTCATTGAGAAAGAATGAAAGAATACCAGGGTATCCAAAAAGACCAAGCTCGCAGAAGAAGCCTCACTAAAGAAAGAAACTCGGAACTGAGACCTAACAAATAATTAAGGCAACAATCGTAGTTGGAACTAACTTCCTAATCTCAGCTAAAGTAGACAAACTTTGTCATATTTGTCAAAAGTAACTTTCAAATCTCAGCCTGTTGCAAACCAGGCTGCTTTCGCGATACATAACGAGCAAAAATGGACAATATCTGCTAGTGGTCGGTTTGGGGATCACACCCTTACATGAAACGATACTCCAATTTGTTGGGTAACCACTTCGACCCGAATAGTTGTAACCAGACAAAATTGACGAGGTTAAGTTCATCTCCCGGGATTTCCACAAAAAACAAAAAAAAAACACTCACATACATACTGTGGAATTGTTCATCTCCCAGGATTTCCAAGCTTTCTACTAATTAAATGTGGCAAACAAATCGAGCTAAAAGAGGTAAAGCAAAAACAGAATAATTTGCAGAGGTTTAAGTTCAGAGAGTTCAACCCGCTTTGATAATCTCCTAGTTTGGCATGCAATATTGAGAAATTGAGAGTTGAAAAGCAAAATGGAAATGGAGCAATAACCTGTTGAGACGGAGTATGAGATACGTCGACGAAGGACTCGATGTACTGTGTAAGCTTACTGAGCTCCGCCATTTTTGGGTGAGCGGGAATGGGTTTAAGCCGCGCAAGCTTGGTGGCTGAAGGTCTTCTGCCTTCAAGAAATGAGAATAAAAATATATCTAAAAAACCCCGCCTTCGACAAATCATCAATTTTTATGCTCGCTTGTTCGAATTTTCATTCCTTTTATTATTATTATTTTTTCTGCTATTTTTTATAATGGATTATTCAATTTGAAACATTTTATTATTTCTTTTCAAAATGTTTTAAAGTTTTTATAGATAGTAATTAATTTATTAATTATTTATTAAATTATCGGACAAAATTTTTATTTTTTTTAGTAATTTAAATATAGTTAAAACGGTTATTGAGTGTACTTCAAAAAAAAATACTTGTAAAAAATATATATATATATTAAAAATATTCTTAATCTTTAAAAAAAATTAAAAATACTTTTATCGGTATATATTTATTTTAAAAATGTACTTCAACTTTTAAAAGTATCATAATATTTAAAAAAATTTAAAAATAAGTTTTAAGTAACTTTTATATTGAAAATAATCTACGAGACATCGACAAACGGTTTTCGTCACTAACATCTTTGTTAACTTTTTTTTTTATATAAATGTAAAAAGTATTAATGCTATTTTTAAATTTTAATAGGTGATTTTTAAACATAGTACTGACTGGTATTTGTTAACTTAAATAAAACGGTTAAAACAATATTAATATATTTTTTTAAAATTCAAAAGTATTTTTGAAACCCTTTAAAATGTTTTTTTTTTATGGAATAAATTACTGGTATTAGATTATTTTTTTTTTAATTATAGGGCAAAATTTGCTTCAAATATCTCGTTATTTCATGATTTGTTACAAGGGTATTTTAGTCCATTCAATTATACTGTTAGCTCAATTTTTCTTGTAGTGGAAATTTAATTTAAAAAATGTTTGTTATTTTCAAAATTATGGAGACGAATCTATTGATTTTGTTGTGTGTTTTTTTTTTAATCAATTAATTATATAATTATTAAATAATTCATAATTTATATTTTTTTGTGTACAATATTCTATTTTATTCTTATATTTAAACCCTTTATTTGGTAAATTCAATATAATATTAAAATATTACGTATTACCATTTTTTTCAACAACAAAATACATTTTCTTTTTTTAAAAACGTACAAGCCCAATAAAATATCTGATATTAGAAGCCCAAAAAAAGTGTTTAACGAAGGCCCAATAGAGTTTATCAATTACCAAGGCCCAATAGAATCATCAACTGCGAAGGCCCAAGCCCACGAAATCAAGCGTTGGCGTCGAATTTCTCGAACCCAGTCGAACTAACATCCAGGTGGCACCCGGCAGTCTGCCGATGCATTTCCCTCCACCGCGTAGAACCGCACGACGTCCTCAACTGGCGCGTCAAGAACAAGCGCCACCGTGAGTCATCATTCTGTCCTTCACTCGAGTCATCAAGGTCCAGAAATCATTAACTAATTCACTAATTCTCAAGTCCAGAGCAGTACTTTTCAGAGGTGACGATAGAAGCGGCATCCGACTTCAACAACGTCGTGGAGGCCTTTGGTTAAGATGAGTTTCCGTACGTCGGAGGCGTAGCTTCTCGAACCAAGGTCGTTGGTCGGGTTTTCACGGCCAACGGATCACCGCCGGACCGGCAGATCCCTTTTCACCACGAATTGGCCCAGGTACTCATTGTACTTTGTCCCACATTTTTGGGCCTTTTGATTTTAGGGACTTGTACAAGATCTTTCTGATTAATATCGATGAATGGAAATTGATTACTTAGTAGCATCGTTTAATTTGTAGCTCTGAATTAACAATGTAATAAAGGGGTTTGATCTCTGAAATGACTTGGGATTCGGTCGAAGTACTTGGAAGGACTTAGATTGATGATTTGAAATCATGTTAAAATGCATAGAAATTACATATTCTCTGAGAAAGGAAATCGAGTTACTTGAAAGGATGAAGATTGATTTCCACGATAATCAAATTTGTTTCACTGCATGATAATAGAGCCTATGAACAATTGGTCTTACTAGAACCTACACGTTCTTGCCTTATATCAAACATTTTTGCACCTAACCTTTTCTCTCTACTGTCTTGTGTGTTCTATCATATATTAGTTCAAAATGCTTTGTTTACAGTTTGAACAAGAACTTCACTTATCAAGTCGGTTTAACAAACCTAAACTTTATCCGGGGCTTGAGGATTGTTGGGAGGGAGTCCCACGTGCTAATTTAGAAAATGATCATGGAAAAGCCCAAAGCAAAGCAAAGCCACGAGAGTTTATGCTCAAAGTGGACAATATCATACCATTGTGGAGATCCGTGATTTCTAACACAACTAAGTTGGAGTGGTTAAAAGATGGAGTGAAAACAATGATGGATCCAATCCCAGCTATCAAGTATGATGAAGTACCACAGCGCGAAATTTGGTTTAACAGCATGGTTGCAGCTAACACCGGCTAGGAAGATGCGAGGAATGTCCTGTGAAGGCCGTAATGTTTCGGGACGGTACGCCATTGCCAGCGGATATCATCAATGGCTGCTTGAGAATTCTGGAACAGGAGTCTCTTTCCATTCCCTGGCAGAAAGGTGATGTTTTGCTGATAGACAATTGGGTTGTCCTTCACTCTCGTAGGCCATTCCTCCCTCCCTCCCTGCTAAATGCTAGCTTCACTTTGCAGGTAAACCCATCACGAAGTCCTGAAACTCAGGGACATTCATGTAGGACCAAGATTATGGCAGTTCTCAAGCAGATGATTGATTCATTGAGACATCAACTGAAATCCAATTAATGTTGTCATTGAAGGTACCCATGCTCTCTCTTTCTCTTTCATGTAGTATAAACAATGCATTCATTGAAACTGTGCTAGTGTTGATAATATGTAACTGCCTTGGGTTTTCTTCAGTTAATTATAGGGGATTTAGATGATGAGTAGTGGTTTGTGCTTGTTGAACAACACTGAAAACATGGAATACAATCTCATTTTCTATCACGGGTTCGTTTTGTTCTAAAGCAACTTTCCTAGCTACTTGCTCTAGAGCAGCAAGAAGACGAATGTGAGATCTAACGTCGGTTGGGGAGGAGAATGAAACATTCTTTATAAAGGTGTGGAAACCTCTCCCTAGCAGGACGAATGTGAGATCTCACGTCGGTTGGGGAGGAGAATGAAACATTCTTTATAAGGGTGTGGAAACCTCTCCCTAACACGACGAATGTGAGGTCTCACGTCAGTTGGGGAGGAGAATGAAACATTTTTTATAAGGGTGTGGAAACCTCTCCCTAGCAGGACGAATATGAGATCTCACATCGGTTGGAGGAGAATGAAACATTCTTTATAAGGGTGTGGAAACCTATTCCTAGTAGGCACGTTGTAAAAACCTTGAGGGGAAGTCCGAAAGAGAAAGCCCAAATAAGACAATATTTGCTAGGGGTAGGCTTGGGCTGTTACAAATGGTATCAGAGCCAGACACCGGGCAATGTGCCAAAAAAGAGGCTGAGCCCCGAAGGAAGGTGGACACGAGGCGGTGTGCCAGCAATGATGTTGGGCCCCAAAGAGGGGTGGATGGGGGGGGGGGGCCCCACA